GTTATAAATCTTTTGATTTATTTTATTCTTTTCTTTATATTTTTACCCCTTTTTCAAATTACTTTTGTAATTTAGACATTTAAACATACAATATCCATAGATATTGGCACAGATCTTAGAAATCTTTGCTAATATTTATAATTCATTCTCTTTACTTAAGTTTAATTGCTCTTCTCCCAACATCATATACTTATAGTAATTCTCAGTGAAATTCACTATTTAGAATTGCTGTAACAACATAAAAGAATAAGATAAAAGAAAATCTGAATAAAAAATAATATTGAAGTTGCTTTAGTAACAAAATTAAAATTTTTACAAAGATTAATTAATGTCTAGAAGTCAAAAAATTATAAATAAAAATATTTTCTAGTCAAAATTATGAAATATGTTAATATAATTACAATTATAATTTTATTAAAAACAAAAATAAAAATAATGAAAACAATAATTTAACTAAGTTGAATTATCTAATTACAAGCAAATCATAAAGAAAACAGATTTAAATTTATGCAAAATATATGATATAGTTTATAAATAAAAAATGTAATCAGCTTTTTTTGGTTTTCGAATATAGTAATTGATAAAAGTTTTCAGAATTCAAATAAGATTTCTACTATAAACTAAGAAATATTTATGAAATTTATATATTATATTCATTTAATATAAAGAACACGCTTGCTTAAAACCATTTGATAAAATATCTCAATAAATTTAGAATGAGAATGCAATTTATAAAAATTGATAATAAACTTATCTTTATTTTACATAATAAATATATTATTAAAAGTCTAATAAAATACAGAACACATTCTTTATGATACAAAAAGCAAGTTTGTTCAAGACCATATTATTATATAATTATATTTTGCTTCTTAAATTCTATTACTATGTTTTTTAAAGTTAAAGAAGCAATTAAAAAAATATCAATAAGACATTCCATAAAGTAGCCCTAAATAAATCCACTCTCCATATCTTATAGGATATTTTCATAAAATTTTATCAATAAAAACGTAAATTCCGAAAAATTTTGTCATCCAATTAAGTTTTTAGATTTAGATTTCTCTAAAGTACAATTTTTATAGGATGACTAAAAACCCAGCAGATTGTGATCTATTATATTACGAAAATTGAATTGGAAAGAATTAAAACATTGCATTACCTTGAATGTAACTCATAATAATGGATTGACACTTGTATGGAGTTATTCCTTATACTTATATTAAGTGCTAAATGGAAGGTTATACATGTACACTAAAACGGCAGATCTTTATGTTTAGAATTTTATTTATCATTTGGTGAGCGAAGTCATGATATATCTTGTATACTAAGTGTATTACATGCACTCTCCAACAAATTATTCTTTATGTGTAAAGAAATCGAGCTAAATTTAAGTTCGTTATGGTATATACAAATAATTTGCTGAAACTAAATAATTAATGATTATTGGAATTCATTTTTTCATGGCATCGTTCCATTCATTAATCCAAGTGTCAGCCGCATTTAAGAAATCCTCTGCCATTTGCGATTCGTTTATCAACCACACAATGTTTGCTTCTTGATGTTTTGTCATGTTCTCTAGTGAATCTAGCGCCATCACAATATTTTCATTGTGGATGTACCTGAAAAAAAAATAAAAATTAGTTTGAAGTTAAAAGGAACGAAATATGCAAATAGAAAACAAACTTTAAGTCTTCCAGTAACTCGAAACATTTTTCCAATTTTTCGTCATTCAAACTGTTCTTGATCTTTTGAAATTTATTCTTTTTAGCATTCATTTTTCCTTGCATATTAGTCAGATCCACAATGTTTTTTACGACCGGACCTCTCAATAGAAGATGGTATTTGTTCACTGTTTTCTTTCCCTTTTCCTTTACAGCAACATTCCAATGAATTTCATTATTGCAAAACATTGCCATGTTGTTGAAAACTGTCTCTAAAAGTGTATCATACCGATGTTGACGAGATTTTTGTCGTTGGAGAGCACGACGGAACCAGACTTGAATTTTGGTGACCGACTCTTTGGCTTGAAGAGAATTGTGAATTTGGTGAAACCAATTTTGGATTTCTGTTGCTGAGTCTTGGGTTTCTTTCGAAAATTCAAGCTTTTCACTGTCCTGACTAACTATTGGTGATATGACTTGTTGAAGAGCTAAATGAAATTCCTCAGCAGATGTATATTTAAGCTTCACAATTCCATGTTTCTCCAAGCCAGAAAATTTTGACGAGCCTTCCAAATGATAATGGACAATTATCAAAGAGTCACAATCGGTCTCCTTGAGATCATTGTGAAGAATAATCACAAGGCGATCCATACAATTTTCGTTCAAGTATTTGTTAAGTTTTAGAGAAAAGACTTTGTCTCTCAGATGTTTTGACCAGTGTTTAAAAAGATTAAAGATCTTGGTTGTAAAAGTGGGCTCATTTAGGCATATGAGAACCAAGAGTCGTATTAATCTAAGGATGATAGTCAAATAAAACTTTTCCATGTAAATCAGCAGATTGATAAGCTGTTGAACTTGATCAATGGAATTCCCGATTTCAGCCTGGTAATCAACTCTGTTATAGCCGTGTTGGTTGTCAATAAGCGGTCCCGCAGTAAATGCGTTAAAATAATTAACCAAATAAGCTCGAGGAAGACAAAAATCGCAATACCCAGGACCAACTGCAAAAATTAAAGATGTTTTGAACTCCATAAGAAATATAAGATCACCAAAGTCATCGGGTGTAATTATATTGACTAGTTCAGTCTTCTCGATAGTGTATTGAATAAACATTTTTATGTGCTTGATCGCATCTAACACACGATTATTATAGAGATGTGAGAAAAACAATGAAAGTTGCTTTACAACATGAGTAATAGATTCATCACATCCAAAGTAGTCAAAACCGATAGATAATTCCTCAGGGTGTCTTATTTTCCAATCGAATTCTTTGATTCCCAAGGAGTCATGTAATTGGTGAAGAACGAGAATGCATTTTAACATGATCGAAAAGTCATCGGGCTTATTAAATACTTCAGGTAACCAAATCTTGTGAGAAAGATCAATTAGCCCGCAACGTGTGTGCTTAGGAAGCATCGCATAAGTAATTTCTGGGCAGCTTGTTTGAGGAGATTGATAGCGGAGATGAATTTTAACAAGTCTTTCAGCCCACCACCTTTGCGATCCGCGAACATTTTTACTTTGTTCCTCTTTAAGCAGACGACGATAGTATAATACATCCAATTTTTGCATCACATTGTACTGAAGACACGCAAGAGAGAAACGTTTGCGCAAAATTGAAGGTGTTGGAACAACGTGATGCTTTCGACAATTGTGCCTTGAGCAGGATGCAAACTTGAAGCAAATTTCAGAACTTATCTCTTGAATTTCTCTACCCCTTTGACCAGCCTCCCAGATATGCTCATAAATATATGAAGCAAGAAATTGCGAGATAGCCAAATTCAAAATTTTTTCGTCGTACACATGCCAACCATCCAAGATTTCCACATTATTTTGATTCAGTAAATGGGCAAGGCAATTGTCAGAAACTATTTTTCGTTTATGTGAACGGTTCTCAACTTCGCTTACAGCGAAAATACCCTGAAAATCTTTGTTGCTTTTTGCAATGTTTTTATTTATTTGAGCTAAAAAAGGAAAGGCCAGTTCACACATTCTCAATAGACATTGCAGATGTTCTTGCCAGTTCTCGGTAGATTTCGAAATACGCAGCCATATGATTACTGCACGAAACTCAATGATGCAGTTCTCCCGTTTTCTAAACAATTGCATAAACTTGCGGATTACATCAAGATCCGCATATAAATAAGCTAAATATAGCTGGAACTCTTCATTTAGGCTCTTACACTCCTCGGATTTCTTCCAAGTTTGCGATTTTACTTTTGTAATAACATTGATTGCCTTGGAAAGGTGATAATTTAGTTCAGAGGAATTCGAGTTCGTGAGATCTGCCATTGTCATTTTCAGAACCTTGACTCTACATAAATCCAAGCAGCATCGCAAATACTCTATAATATAATCGTCATTGTCAACCAAGCGAGGAAACACATTAACCGCCTCATTGAACCTCCCCCGCAAACGTAAGTCTTCAGCAGCGACATGCAATAAATCATTTTTCTTGCAGAACTCCGGAAGCTCTTCAGGGGCATGTTCTCGAAGAAAATTTACTTGTTTCTCCAGAGTTGGAAAAATGGAGAGAGCTTTTTCGCTCATCTTCCTGTTATTCACCCGACGATAATGGATATTAACAAGGTGTGTGATACGGTTGAATTTTTTCTCGTCAATTTTTTCTCTGTGACTTATTTTAAAAAAATATATATGCTAGGTTATGTCGTTTCTGAATATAAAACTTAGATTTCTGCTGAATGACTAAATATTAGGACAAAAGGTGTTTACCTTTCCATCAAATTAATGACGTTTTCATAACATCGACCGTCTTTATAAGCAACAACAGCTTCGGTGTACTTATTCGCCTTTTCAAACCACTTTCCCGCAGTTTCAAAGTCAGGAATTTTAAGATAACAATGTGCGGCGGACTCAAATTTATTCAATTCAATGTAAATTTTAGCAGTTTTTTCATACATGTCGGTATTCTGTATATTTTGCAAAGTCATAAGAATCGATCTGATTATTCATGTATGCTTAATTTGGAAAGATACCTCATAACACGAAACCGCCTGTGCCAGCCGGGCACACTTTCGAAATGCATCGCCTGCTCGATTAAAATTTGAAATCACAGTGGCCAGATCAGAATTTATCGAGTCCCTTGCTATTTGCTGAAGATAATAGGCCTTAGCTAGCCTGCGGCTTTCAGGATTTTTACCCTTCTTAAAGCAAAAAATAGCCTAAAAGTAATTTTCATTTTTTTAGTTTCTCCATGTTTATAAATGAGACCAAACTTTGAAATTAATTTCAACCTGATTATACTGTCGCAGTTCAAAATACTTTTTTCCTTCTCGATTCCATTCTGCTGGACTACTTTGCTTAGCCAATTCAGGGAAAATGATTTCATCCTCATTTTGGATCACTTTAACGAGCCCATGATGCTCCCAGTATTTGCAAATTGGTTCGATGCGTTCATTTTTCTCGTCAAATATCCAGATGTGCCGCCGTGCCCTGGTAACGGCGACATAGAGATGCTTGAGTTCAGAGGAAAGCATGTAATGCTTTTCATGAGAAAATTTTGGAACTCTCTCAGACTGGTTGTCCAAAGCAGAGAGTATTAATCGCCACTATGATATCACAAATAACAAAAGGAACTTTCAATAAAAGACTTGATGTAATGTAATACAAGTGTGGAAACTTACCTTTTGACCTCCAGGCGAATCGGTAAAGAAATTATACAGCAAAACGTCATTAAACTCCATTCCCTTTGCCTCATACACTGTCATTATCAATCCAGCTTTTCCAATTAGGCTTTGAAGACGTAATTTAGATACTTCATCACGTACAATAATGACCTGCTCAGCTCCGAACTCGATATACTTGCCAGTCTTCTTATTGATAGGAAAAACATTAAAATGGAAGGTTTCAGCCTGAAATCCTTTAAAAACTATAGGTCGAGGACCGCCAACCTCACCGCGCTCACGTGATAGACAGTCAATTGACTCAGGAAAAAAATCCCAAATGAGATCAATTATTGAAGCAGCAAGTCGAAGGATCCCATTATGGGAACGGTAATTAACGTTCAACTCGAATTGGTTTGGTTTCATAGTACTTTGAGAGATATTATTAGCCTGAATTCGAGTGAGTTCCCATTTATACATCAAAGCGCGTATATCTTAAATTTATTAAATATTAATAATAACAGAGTATTAATTTAAGTTTCAAAGTATAAGCAATATATACATACATACCTTGAAATCTGAAAGAAGAGCCCTTGGCTATACATTGCGCTATATCTCCAGCTAAAAAAATGCTATCAACGCGATCAAAAATCTTTAAGATAAGGCCAAGGTCCACAATTTGGTTGTCCTGACATTCATCAATGTATATTTCATGAATATGTAGACTTTCGAATTGTCCTTGTATGGCGCAACTTAAAATGGCTAGCGTTCTACCGGTAAAAATTTAATAATATATGAATTATGAATTTTACTAAAAACTAATATCCACAAAACTTACCGATCTATTGAGTCATAATCACCATTAAGCGATTTCATCTTTTCATATCGCTGAAATAAGTCGTTAATTATATCCCGGTTGTAGCAAAACGCAGGATATTTTTTAATGCTTACGGTTCGATAATCCTCCCTTGATAAATACTTTCCTTCTGGATTCGATCCCTAGAGAAATTTAAGAATTAATATGTCATAAATAAATAGTATAAAAATTTTATATATGTTTACATACCTTAATTATAGAGAACTCGGAATAGACCAACTCACAATCAAATTTATCATCATTTAAACGATTCCAATACCTTTTCTTAAAAACATTAAAATCCACAAAGTGATCTTTATTTATTTTTGATTGTTGGGTTAGCTTTCGACCATCAATTCCATATGTTCCCTCAAGCATTTTGGAGAACTTTTCGTAAGTAATAAATAATGGGAAATGATCTTCTGTCAGCTGAGAAAACGAGTTTGGAATATGACTTAGTTCTTTTTCTTCATCTCCCTCTTCAAGCATTTTGTTATCAGTTTGATCAGTATCGTATTCCTTCTCTTTTTTTCTAACGTACTCATGGAACTGATCTATCGTCATCTTTGTCTCAGCAAGTATCGCAGATTTTCGCAACCTGTAGAAGTATTCCTTTACCTGACGGCATAGAATGTGACTCACTGTGATAAATATTTGCCTCATGTGGGAACTGTCTTGGTTCCTATTGTTGGCCATATAGTTGGATGTCTTATATAATAGATTACTTGAATTGCTGAGATAGGAGGCAATTAGTCTATACACGATGCATGTGGTCTTGCCTGTACCTATGAAAAGGTAAAATAAAAAAGTATTTACATTTTCCAAATTATGATGACTAAACTAGACAACTAACCTGAACGACCAATTATGATAGCTGAAGTGGGATTTTTGATACTTTCGTACTCTACTTTTGACACCTGAAAAGTAAAACCGGTGCCATCCATTACCAGTGATTTAAACAAGTTCTGCAAACAATTTAGATCGTACATCAATTGAAACATATTCCAATTTTAAACTCATACTATTCAATGCCTATTTTACCTTTGATAAGGGAACAAATTTATTGGCGACAAGCATGTTGTGAATCACTAAGAGCTGCTCATCATCCATTTGACAGCTATAAATCTCGTTCTCGGTGGATTTTAATTCTTCCTCTTCGAAGATTTTTGGTAAAATTATATCATTTCTGCTAATCTGTCGAATAGCACACCGGCAACGTTGTTCGGCTGTATAAAATTGATGAAGCATTCTGAGATATTCTAATATCTTGTCAAATCGATTTTGGTTTGCAGTGACAGCCCAAACTTTTACAAGTTGCGTAAGCAAATAGCTACGAGTAGAAAACCCGTAGTCAATCTGCCAGAGAATTTTTATGTCGCCGTGATCACGGAGTTCCGCTTTATAAACAGGAATCGGAAGATATATAACCATAAAGTTCAGTCCATGCTTATTCCAAGCCCCAGAAGATATCTTCCCAAGTTTTTTCATAACAGCTTCAATTTCCAGAGGTGACGTCAAACGCGATATATCTTTTATTGCGTCTTCACTTATCAGGATGTCCCATGGCCCAAGTCTGTCATCTTCATTAAATTCAAATGGAAGGCGAAAAATGCGCTCTGTTGGTCTAAATGTTCTATTAATATTTGTTTGCTCTTCTTCCATGAGCGAAGAATATTTGTCAGAGGGAAACTATGTGAGTGCTTTTTCGATTTCCCACACTAATTATTGGCACATTTAAATGTCAAGCCACACAGCAGTCGTATATTAATTATATCATACAAATTTTTGCTGAAAAACCAACCACTGCGTAAATCAAAAAGTAACATGGGAATTTTTACTCTCAAACCCAACAAATGTTCAAAATTCAAAACTCACTGTTTTTAGGCTTTTGAAATTTTTGACTTCTCTTTGAGAGCTAAAAATGAGAAGCTTTGCGACTAGAAAAAGTGTTTACCATCTTTTCAAACTGTGAAGCTCAAAACCCTGAGCATTGCTTCTTTCTAGTTTAGAATTTTAAACTTTTGTTTCTAACTCTTTTTTTTCGTTCGCCTCGAATGTAGTTTCAATCCCAACTCCCCGAATCGTTTCTATCTTACAATTTTCTAGGAGGCGCTTAAGGCACAACATGAAAGGATTTATCTCTATTTCGTAATGATATAATATTCAATCAGAATAGATGACTGTTTATGAATAGCAAATTCTCTGACCAATCATGACTATCAATTTTTGATCAACGGAATACATGTACTTATAATAAAGATGAGTTTATTTCAATATTTCTTCTCACTGCTACTCATTTCACATACCGTATTCTGCAGAATAAAATCCCCCCTTTCCTTTTTAGTAATTTCGTTGTAAAAATCCGGGTACTATACATATGATAATTATATAATAAAAATGTAAATTTTCGAGCTACGTATTTATATATCTAAATTTTATATAATTTAATGCTAATTGATTGTATTCTTGAAAAAATAAACAAGACTTGTGACAACTTAAAATGCAAGGACTGTTTTGATTGAAAAGTAAAAATAATTTTTTCCCACGCTTTATATACAAATTGAAAGTTTCAAGTTATATGTATATCTATACTTCAATTAGAGCCAATCAATTATAGAACTGTTTTAACTATAAAAATTAGATATATATCTTTTTAATAGATAATTTTAAATTTGAGGTATTGTGCGTTCAACAAAACGATATCATTATAATATTCTCCTGCATAATATCCTCCTTCAATCAAAATATCATCCGAGTATAATATCCCTATTCACATCCCCCCGAGTGCGATGATAATTGTATATTATCCCCTGGGCTTTTATTCCGTAAAATACGGTACTTTTTGCCAAACAGGTTCCGATCCTAATATACCATTTGAAATTACCAATTTGGATAAAATAAGGAGAAATTGAATGTCTTGCAAGAAAACTATAATTCATGAACTACAATGATATCAAAATGATTACTTTATATTAATATGTAATTATCAATATTAACGTTAACTATGTTTTGAGTTGTGTATTAATTTCAATGAGAATTATATATTATTACGATTTTTATTTCGAGGATTATATTTTATACGATTATCTGATTCTTCTAAAAAACACAACTTTTTTTCTATCGCGACGAATCACTTTATATTCGTCTCAAGTGATTTGTCTTTACCACACGCGCATTGGCTTTGTCTGATCCCACTTCACTTCATCTCCTTTTTCCCCATAAATAGCACATTGGTTTTGCCTTGTATCAAAATATTATTTTATGCTCAATAATAATACGTAGCCTGTTTGAAATATCTTGATGATTTTTTGATGGCGCTACACAACAATCACTAAAAAGTGAACAGCTTGTTCAGATCATAATACTCATGATTGTTGTAAATGCGACGTTTGTCAAGGAAAATTTACTTTTTAATATTGATGTTAAAAAACAGATATCAATTCGTATGCTTTTATGCTGTATTAAATTGTTAGTCTAAAAACCTTAGAAATCATAAACCTGAAGGTAGATTTTGATTAACAGTTCATTAACTCGTTTTAATAAATAGTTATCTATTATCAACGTTGTACCCCAGATCAAAATTGTTATGTAAGTTGCTTGAAAATTTATATTTAGCTTCGCATAGACGATATAAACAACGTTGAGTTTGCTTATGATTAATTGATACAAATGATAGTGGTTTCTTATAACGGGATATTTCATGGTTTAATTTGCTTCGAAAACAAACTAGCAATTCTAGATTTTTTTGATTGGACATATTGGGGACGTCATTTGAGTATGACACGGTCGAGATTAGATTAATTTGAAAGTATTCCCGATATTATTCGTAATGGATAATTTCGATGCGTCTAGTACTTCGTTTATTTTTTCACAATCAAAGAAAATATTGTCATTATTGTGTTAAATGCTTTCATAAGCTCACATTTGTGCGTGATTCGTTGTTATACGTTAAAAGAAGAATCACATTCATTTAATTGACTTGTTTTATGTATGATACACGTACTTTATCTCATGAATTTGGATTGATTAATTTTTTATAACAATAATGATATATCACCTCTATCTAAGATGACCTCGATATAACGAGACCGAATATTGCAAATGATGGCAATTCCCTTTCGCATTTTCGGCTTGGCTTATGGGGAAGGAAGCATGGTTCCAGAAACGGTTATAGTAATTAAATAAGCTGAATTTATTAAATAAACCAACATTAGTCTTACAAGTAATTTTTCGAATATGATTGTACAAGTAATTTTTCGAACTCTTTAGGATTATAGCTTCTACCTAGCTAAAGAATTCCGATTGTTTTGCTTCGTCCAAATAAATGGATCTATTTTACCATAATATATCAAGTTCAAGTTTTAAATAGAGATCGAAGTTACCGATGCGCAAGTAGAAGATTTTTAGTAGCGAAATTTGCGTTCGCCTCACTGTGATGTATGGATATTGGTAGGTGTAACCAAATATGTAATTTACTTATTTATTACAATGTCAACAATTTTTTCTATTTTCTAATCAAATTAGCTATCCTCTGAAATTTCTGACATCAAGTGTGATTTTATGGAATACGCCGTACGAGCGTTGAGAGAATATTATCTAATTCGTGAAGAAATTCTGGCGATTTAATGTCACCGAGTAAATAAATTATTTTGCGATTTAGTACTAAAATAAAAAAACTTAATCGTGAGGTCAATATCGGGAATTAAAATGTGGCGCAGCTAACTATGTCCAATTGGACACTTCTGACAACACTGAGTCACTGTGTACGTATGTCATTATTTCATTTATCATCACCGACATCAAGAATCCTGTTCCGCTGATTTGCATAAAAAAGTACTTTAATACAGCGCTTGTTTTGATTAATTCAATATTTTTGTAGCTCTTCTTAATAATAAATCAAAGTTTCCGTTACTTCTACTCTGCCAAAATGAATGACAAATTACCAACAGAAACGATGATCCAGATTTTCTCAGAGGTCGCTGAGAAAGCTGGGTAATAAATATGAGACTTTTAAGACGATCACACAGAAAAAGATAATAATTGCAATCTATTTTCTAAATTTGAAGTTTGCGAAAAATTTGGAAGCTGCGTTGCATATCACACGAAATAAAACTCATCATTGAGACGGTTGTATTTGATAAATTCCGTAATATAGAATGGCAAATTGCTGGATGGGTAATTTATAATATATTCAGTTTTTGCATTTCAATCACTCTATAAATTGCTTTTAATTAAAACATCATATTCAGTCCTTTGATGGCGACAAAACATTAGAATGGGGATGCACTGATCTCAACGTACGAATTCTTGCACCCAATGCCAATGATTGTTGCGCACGAATTCGGCCAATCACAAAACCACATTGGTCTCTTCGCTACAATTGGTATGAATTTTGGCTTCGTGTAAAAGGACAAGCTCAAAATAGATGGTATGATTTGAGCGAGAGAATTGAACAATGTAAGATGAACAATGGTTCAGGTGGCGAAAAATGGTTTGGTAATGTGAAAATTGTGTATCATCGTATTTATATTTATGGACAAGAATCATGTCAATATATTTCCGAATTCAAGATTGATTTAAGAATATTGTTTGCGCTAATTGAAGATTGATTCCATAGAACATTTTTAATTTCATAATCCTCACAATAGGTGAGATTATGAAAGGCATTCAGAATAATGTATATTAACTCTAAAGCCCAATATTAAACACTGCTTAAATACTTTAATTATTCAATAGATAAAGTTTTTGCGATCTAATAATATATGGGGGGGTGAGTCAATAGAAACCAAGCAAATTATATATGTACTACATAAATAATTTGCCCCATACAATATAAATAAGTGACTTTCTTTTTCTCATTATTAGTTTAGAAATTATCAAAAATATGGTGCAGGAACTCTTAAACCGAAAATATATTTCATGTTAAAAATTATTATTTAAGAAGTCGAAATAATTTTTAACATGAAACATATTGTCGGTTTAAGAGTTCCTGCACCATATGTAAAGTGCTGTTTCTGCCTTCTCTCCTCAAAAAAAAAGTTGAAATATGTTAACAATAAAATATTAACTTCTCCCCAATAACGACATTACCTCTCTCACAATAACATCTTATTCACTTCAAACTTCTGTACAAGTGGTCTTTATATCTTTGTGCCAACAAAATCAAGGATTCTATATCTTTGTACCATAATGAAGACTTTATCCCTTTTGCTATAAAAAGTTGATTTGGTTTGATTTGTTTATTTTGAATAGTTGTTATTTTGATTATTCGGATTTGTTATTTTGTCAGTTTGAGTATTTTTGTCTAGTCATTGTTTAGTGATTTTAATTAGTTTATTTGATTTACATTTATTTATCTGTTATAATATTTGAGGATATTAGTACAGGACCTATTAATGAGAAATCCTTTAAATAATTTCTATTATTTCTCTTTATCTTCTTCCCTTTGTCTCTCTAACTCTTTTTTTAATCAGTCTAACTTTCTCCTTCCCTTTGTTGCGTATTTTTCCTTATTGAAAGATGTCGTAACATTATAGTGACATCATGTTGTCTGCGGTAATGGGAAAATTTATAGACATCAAGTTTGTTATGATTGCGTACAAATTTGATACTGATACAATGCACGATATGGTAAAATTAAACTCGATATCTCATACCAAGAGTACACCACAATAATCTGTGACCATATTATATCTGGTGAATTTGCCATACACCCACCTTACTATTTTATCTCCTTTACCTAGGATTCATCCAAAATCAGGGTGTACCAGATATGGCGAACGTTAGTTTTAAAAATAACATACGTTACTTATATATTAAGAGTGAACGGTACTATAATGGCACAGTATACTGTTGCGTTCCTTCTAATATTTACCGAAATGCTTATTCTGCGATGGTTTGGGGGCACCAGATTATTGCAGTTATTGCAATAACCAATCGATTCAAGGAACTTTCTGCAACGGGGTTGGAGTTAAACTGAATTATTTACGGTTGGAGGGCTCTCCGGTTATTCTAGAGGTTTCCCGTGGCAATTTGTTCACAAATCGGCCTTTTCAAAATGATGAGGGTGTATTTGAAGAATAGATAGGATAGAATTATTCTTGTAATAAGAGTCGATTCGTTACAATGATGTTTTTATTTTATTTTAATACCAATTGATGCGAATATGACAGGACTTATTGATACATCCTGTCCAAAAAGAAACTCAATACGAAAAGGTGATTCGACAGGGCTTATTGATACGACCTGTCCAAGAAAAACAAAACTAATTTCAACAGGACTTATTGATACGGCCTGTACAAAGAAAACAAAATCAACTTAACAGGACTTATTGGTACGGCCTGTTCAAGAAAAATAAAATCAAAATAACAATTCAAAAGAATTCAACGGCTTATTTAGAGTGGAGGAGCATCCACTACTTGCAATCACTCACAAGGTTTGAAGTTTGATCACGAAACGAAAGAAAATAATAGTGTATTCACAAATAATATTGTTATTACGAGTAAGAACTTTGTTATTTTTATTCGATTTTAAAGCACGATCAAAGCATGTCTTCTCAGCGACGACTTGAAGACGCTTCTATATACAATTTCGAATTACTACGCTAATCCTATGCTAATTCTATGGTTAATAATTTACATTGATGGTTTCTTTTAACACGACTAAACATTAATTGTTTGATTGTCTTTCAATCGATTGTTATCCCCTTTTTTAGAGTTACTATCGTTATGTACATTTCGTCGATGCTCTATTGTCCAGATGATTGTCGTGATTATCCTCTCGATAATCGTTACCGTGCCGTGTATTAACTATCGTTCGACACTCCCGATCAAGGCTGTCTTTTAGACAATTAGACAGCGTGAGAAAAAATATTTGAGATAAGAATATGCAAAATCTTAGTTTATAACAATTTGTCTAAAAATATTGTGGTTCCTTATATCAATTAAATAAAGATATTGAATGCTTACGTATTGTGATTGTTACCCTCTCGTATACGTTATACATGTATTAAAAGAACGATCACAAGAAACTAATTTCGGAGGGATTTTCATGTAGAAATTGAGAATCAAAATTACGGAATCGAAGAATTTAATGTTACTTCGGTAACACGATTCTGTGGTTTTTTGAATTAATCAGAGTTTTACAGAAAAAATGAATACAACTTAAATACATTGTAGTAATGTCTAAAAATACATACCGTCCCGGCAATTATCAAACTAATACTCAAATGAGAAATTTCCAACTCCGTAATCACCCCTTAGCCAAAAAATCTCTGCTACACATGGAGTCTTCTTAACCTTCTCCAGCAACTCCCCCAGAACATTTTCCCCATTCGTCGCAGTTCTCCGAAGCACTAGGCGCAATTGTCATTTTCCTGTCAAAAAGTTTTGTAAAAGCGGGAACCAATCATAAATTCAAGTTAAACTATAAGGGATCGTGGATGCTTGATTTCGTGTTGAGAATTAGTGTTTTCTAGGAAATATTACATCGGCGTTTTGTGCATTTATTATGTTGGTTATTAGTTCATCGAAGCATTCTGCGATTAAGTCAACGAACGTTTCTATTTTTCTTTTGTTAAAGATTCCGCATACTTTTGATTGAAAATAGATTATACAAGTTTTTCAATTGATATAATTCATGATGTGTAATAAAAATTGCCTATTGGTGTCATTTTTTATACCCATTACAATTCTTAAGTCCTATAGAAAGAAGGATCTTGCGCGTAAAGAATATCTTACGCCTCCTATTAAACGAATCGTTAGTGAATAAACATTTTTTACTCTAAATTTAATTAAACAATTACGTTTATTGGACGCTACTAATCGCATTACTCGGATATAGCTTTTTGAAAAATAAAAAAACAATAATGAAAAGAGTGCATGTGAAGGATTAAAAATTTTACCTGAGCCGCCGGGGAAAATCCATTTATAGTATTTATCCGTGTGTTTTGATTTATCGTTTTGTTGCGTCGAGAATTATTAATTTTATTTTAAGTCATTGCTCTCTTAGTGCGTCAGGTCTTCATAAACAGTAAATTAAACAGGTTACTCACGAAAAATCTTAATTAAATTTATTGACAAACTTGCATATATGCGATGAATTGAAAGACATTATGGGTTGCAAGCAGTTACCCAAAAACTAATAATGCTTAATAGTACGAAAATTGTTGGTGATTTGTTTCATATACGACCGACATTTTATTAGCTATGTATTCGTTGTATATACAGTGACTCATACATGTAACCGAACACGAAAATTAACTTTCTAGCATTTTTATTTCCATGACTATTAGTTTGGACAAAATAATAGTCATGGAAATAAAAATGCTATATAGAAAGTTAATTTTCGTGTTCGGTTACATGTATGAGCCACTGTATGTAGTGCTCCAACCGGGTCGGGTCGGATTGGGGTCAAACCCGACCCGAAATATTTCGGGTCAGCCTAAAAAACGTTATTTCTCGTTCAATATTAATTGGAATTAAACAAAAATTTGTGGGTATATACACAATTACATTCCGAACAACTCTACTTAGACACCAAATACAAGTGTCTTAGTAAAAATAAAAATTATAACTAAAAACTATTTTACGATTTTCGGATCAAACCCGATCCGAATCCGACCCGAACAGAGCTTTAGTTGTATGTGTGAGTGCAGTATATATTATCGTTATGTGTATTGTGCTTTTATATTTTTGGATTGTTGCTGGTAGCACAATTACCAGAATGCGAAATCGCTTGTTACAAGAAATAGTAGGGGTATGTTGTGTATAATTAATATGATATTGAATAAATAAATTTTAAATTTGGTAGACCTCAGTAATATATTTTTCTGACAGCTCGACTTCGTGGTGTTTAGTATCAAAATTTCATAATTTTATTAATTTTATAACTATACAGCTAGAAAATATAGTAAAAGTTTTATTATTATATAAGATAAAGGTACTAACTTATATATCTTTTAAATTTTATTTGAATACTATTTACAAAATGATTATAAAATATTTTATAATTAAATTTATATTTTATTATAAAAATAATTTTTATAATTACTTTGAAAACAGAAAAATTAAAAAAAAATATATGTTAAAATATATGTCATCACCTTTATTTGTCAAAATAAAAATATTTATTAAAAATAATTTCAATTTTACTTATTAATTTTACGGAAAAATTGTTAGAGGTTGGTTTTAGGGTGCTGGCATATACATGTATTTTGATAGAGGTGCCTTTCCTCCACCCCAGGTAAGATCTTTTACCCAATAAAAATGCTTAATTTTTTACTACTTAAGATCAAGCTCTACCACCCCCTAATAAATGTCACTGCCCCTAAGGTCAGGACTAAAATTGGGATAGCATTGTATGTAAATTACCTCGTCGACATGGTGCATAACATCTAAAGTTATCAAACATTTGTATTTTATAAAATGTATAAACTTCTTTACTAAGAAGTAATTACAAAATTTAGTCTGTAAATGTGATAGAATAGGCACTTTCTAAGCATATTCACGGATTAAATTTTGTATTTACTTTTTAGCAAAGACGTTTATACATTTTATTAAATACAAATGTTTGATGACTGTAGATGCTATGCAATACAGTGCTTTAAGCATTTATTTTTGCATTTTTTATATTTTATTTTTCTTAGTTTGCTGTGCAGTTGCAGATCAAAAATTCATTTAAAAGAGCGTGACTTTAGAGGTGACAGTACGGTAATAAATAAAAAAGTAACAATCATTTTTGCACGTGTATAAAGATTTAACTTTATGTGATAAGCATATACATGTATGACCAAAACACTAAAATCTTCTCTTTTTAGATATACCGATACTTCTGCTATGAATTAAGGAGAAGTTTTGAATATTCGTAAATGTTCATTCAACACCAATCAATAATCAAAAGTAATAAAGCAAATCTACTTTATTATGGAAAGACTTCTCCTATTATGAATGAAGGAGAAGTTTTGAATAATGCTTATCGTTAGCCCGCTATAATTCGTAAATGTTCACTCAACACCAATCAACAATCAAATAATAAATAAAAAGCAAATTTACTTTATTATAGAAAGAAAACAGATATCTTGTATTAAACATATTGATATAAATAAGAAATAAGACCGATCATGCTAACGTTAACGATACATGTACTTGGAATACGCGTGACGTAAATCACCGACGCGTGTAATAACGATATTTAACTGTATTTAGATGATATTGATACACATTGATCTATACACCTTTTTTGTGAGTGTCGATATCAGACAGTACATTATTGAAATACACCTGAGATAATGTCGTCTTGGCTAGAAAATTTAATTTCAGAAAATCAAATGAAATATTTTGATTTTAAAAAATTCACCGATAAAAAAGCAATCGGAAATGGAGCGTTTGGCGAAGTTTTTAAAGCTGAATTGAAAAATGATGATCTAATCGTAGCTCTGAAGTGTCTATATATTAATGATGAAAACGCTAAAGAAAAAACTTATCAACAATTTATTAAAGAGGTAATTTAATATACAAAAAAATTATTGAAATATAAACTCAGTATGTTAGAAAAAACTTACATTTTTTAATCTTTAGCTAAAAATCCTTATTAAACTTAATCACCATAAAAATATAATTCGCTTTTATGGAATCACGAAAGGTAATACATTCAATTCAGCAAAAAATATTTTTTAAGAAACTAAAAAAATAACTTCACTAGATCTAGATTCTCAAAAATACATGCTTGTTTTAAAGTATGCTGATGGTGGAATTCTTAAGGAATATTTGAAAGCTAATTTTGCACGTATGAACGGAAATGACAAATTATCTTTAGCAAAGCAACTTGCGAAAGGTCTCAAGTGTATTCATGAAGAAGGCATTATTCATCAGGATTTAGTAACTTTTAGAAATGCTTTTTTTTATAATATTTTAAATTTTAATTTGACGCAAACCTAATGTTTACATTTTTACGATAGAATCACAACAATATCCTTATTCATAAGGGAAAAGTAAAAATTTCTGATCTAGGTTATTCAAAGCTTGCAAATGATCAATCTCACTCAAAAACAGATCATGCTATATTGATCCGGCATTTATAAAAGATATGAGTAACTTTAGACGGGATGAAAAATCTGACATATTCAGCCTTGGTATGCTATTTTGGGTTATTTCAAGTGGTTATCTTCCGACAAATCAATATGGATACGCTTTTTGTTCCTCATCGGAAAAAGAAAAAATAATAGACGGAACTCCAGATAAATATGTTGAACTTTATCAAGCATGCTGGGATGATGTACCAACAAATCGCCCAAATATCTATGAAGTAGATAAACATCTTGGAATGGACTACAGCTTTATTTACTGCAGTATCAAAAGAATCATTTTCAGATTTGCTTGGTGAAGATTTGATGTTGAATTCTTCTGCCTTCGAAACCGATGATTTCTTTTCAGATTTGGCTAATGATTCAAACAGTTCATTCAACAAAAATGAACAATTAGATAATTTAGTTGATGGTTTATTGAATCTTTTCATAAGCTATATGGCGCGATTGAGTTCGAAAACATTGGTGCTTTGTTGAAAACTTATTACGATAGAAATGTTCAATCTCCTTCCGAATTTAAAATTTATTTACAAAACTTATCGTATAATGCCAAATATGAAGTATTTAAGGGTTTCTTGTATCAGAATGGCGTTATCCTTGAACAAGATCTTTTAATGGCACATAAAATCTATAATGAATGTGCACATAATGAAGATACACAAGCTCAATGCTTACTCGGTTTTACATATTATAAGGGAATTGGAGTAGAAAAAAATGATACAGAAGCATTCGAATGGCATATAAAATCAGCAGAGGGTGGAAATGCAAGGGGACAAAGTAATCTAGGTTGGGGTTATCTAAGTGGGGTAGGAACTCAAAAAGATGAGAAGAAAGCCTTTGAATGGTTTTTGAAATCAGCAGAGGGAGGAAATGTCTATGGACAATTGAATCTCGGTTTTTGTTACCAATATGGTGTAGGAACTCAAAAAGATGAGAAAAAAGCATTTGAGTGGTATTTAAAATCAGCCGAGGGTGGGAGTGCTGAGGCAAAACAAAAATTGAAATCGAAAGATGACTGTGTTATTTCTTAAAACATTCATATAATATAAATTACTTTATACTTTTTATAGTTTATTAGCTAAAAAGTATATTTTCTTGTAAGTAGTACATGCAATTTTTTGTTTCACCTCATCACTTTAGACCTGTTACTAAAATTATTGTGATTGGTTAGCAAATATTCTTCTTTAAATACAAGTACATGTAATTCAAGAAATTAGAAATAAAATCCGGTTACTTTAATTATGGACTCTTAACATTGCACTCATGTTTCTAAAGTTTGCAAATAATATAGTCAAGCCAAAGTTGGTTACAGAATCAGTTATAGTAAATCCTATAAATGCAGTCAAGATTATTTTGACTTGAATCAATTAATTGCGTCAATAGTATACGTACGTAAATCGAAATCTCTCGATAAACCGAATTGTTCAGATTTTCTACCGCTACTAATAGAATAGCCCCGACCAGTTCGGCTTATTGAGGTTTAACTAGGACGTTTAATATTTAGTTGGATTTAAGTGTTTTTTTTTTACTTTTCTAAACTTGTTTTTCAGTTAGATTCAACTACTATTCGCTATCAAATAAGCACATTTATCAATTTGTCTTATTATGGTGCATAACATCTAAAATTTGTATTTTATAAAATGTATAAATTTTTCAACTAAGATGTAAATACAAAATTTAATCCGTGAATATGATAGAATAGTCCTTTTCTTATTCACGGATTGAATTTTGTATTTGCTTCTTAGTTGAGAAGTTTACACATTTTATAAAATACAAACGTTTGATGACTTTAGATGTCATGCACCATACCATTTCAGTCTGCTAAATACGTACGTAAAAGTTTTTGTGCCATCTTACTATTTTATTGTGCGTTTGAAAATATAATATATTAAATCTTTTGAGCTTTCCACTTGAATTCTCTAATCGGCTATTGCTATTGCTATCGCTATCGATAAATCAATCAAAAATCACAAAGAAGCTTTTTTCATAATACTATCATCTTCCCTTTTCCTGCTACTAGCACCGGAAGCAGAAGAAACAGTCCCATAATTCACAACTAAATTGCATTTAATTCTCTTAACTTGATCCACTGAGAACCCACACTCGTTGACGAGAAAGTTCTCAGCAGAGTGGTATGTTTTATGGAACTCGACGAGAGTTCGGACCATGGATGCGTATCTATGGCTTGGTTTATTTTGAAATTTGTGTCGATAGGGTGTAATTATTTTATGTTATGTTTTCGATGGAAAAAGGGAAAAGCAGACAATAAATTATATATATACGTACTTTGCGGTCCGAAGAGATCCAGACCTTGCAGAAGCATTTTCTATTTTTCCATATTCATCTTATAGATTAAAAAAATCCAAAAAAATAAATTTCTAGTCATAAACGCAATTTGCCAACCAAAAATTTAACTCACTAATCTTTTCCGTTATCATCTCGTATTCACGCGCAACAACTTCATCAGAAACACCCGCCAATCTCAACGCCAACATTACAAACAATCCAGTTCTGTCGCGACCCACGCTACAGTGTACCACGAACGGAGTGTATGGATTTTCAAGAATGTGGTGGAATATTTTGGCATAGGTTTTTGCTCCTTCCTTTAGAACTTGGAGATATCCTTTATTTTTTTGTTGGGAGAGATTAGAAAGAGAAAAAAGAATTTTAAATTGAAATTTAAATAAAATTAGAAATCATCAAAACAAAAAAATACCCAGTGCAATTTCTTGTGAACTATGAGAATGTATATTCCATGATTCGAATGGCTCGTCTGACGTGTATTCAGTTTCCACGAAAACAGGTATATGTACTCGCTCAATTCCGTCAATGCTATTAAAAGTTAGAAAATGACAAATTTTAAAGGGAACTTTTTATTTTATCCAAGTTCTTTTATACAAATAAAAGTTTGGAATTTGAATAAGAACAAAAAAGTATCTATGGGGAAATCTTACTTGACGTCCTGTGTCTCAAGTTCGACACTAGAACGAAAATCAAAAATCTTCTTAATGTTTAGTTTATGAAGTGCTTTTATTACTTCTTGCGTAATTTTTGATAACCTTTTAGGTAAAGAATAAAGAAGACAAATTAACATGATCTTAACTTTTAATGAAAGATACAAACAATGCTTACTTTTCACATCGAAACATAAATCTCTCACGAACGAAAACTTCACCAACTTCATTAGCATCATCGCCGCTAATATCAGTACACCTCCACCCACCAAAATCATAAAAATTCAAAAGCCCTTCAACGTTAATAACACGCGGGACCACACCTCCATCCAACCACCGATTCCGCTGAAAAAATCGTTGAGATAAAAACGCAGCGGAAAAGTACTCGCAAATCTCGGCGACTATCGCTTTAGTATAGCCTTTATAATTGTGTGTTGCTCCAATAATGAGTTTCAGGGTGTGGTTTGGAATCAGGTTTGCATATTTTACAGCATTTTTGACTGAAACTTGCTTTTACGTTGATATGTTTGTTAGATGAATGTGTATGTTAATCTTTAAATGGCATTACACAGTAAACTTTCACTTTAACGAATGCAAATCGCTATTGGTCTATTGTAATAAGGTCGAAAAAGATATAATTAAAAATTATAACATAGTAGTTGTTGAAACCGAACCCTTCGTTAAAGTGAAGCTCACTGTGCAGTATTTACCTCGTCTGCAGTACCATGAATAGTTAAGACAGAGGTGGTTTCTGGCATAGTTTCAACTATTTTTTTTGGATAATTTAAATCAAACCAATTAATTCTACCTAAAAAAAAACACAAAACGATAACCAAAAAATATAATACCCAAATGGACAGGTAAATTAAGAAATTGCTGCAACTCTTCCTTGGTAACTCGAACTTTTACGGTCTTGTTCGCACTCTTCATCTCCCAATCGTAAGTCCCTTTGGTCTCTAATGCATCGTGAAGCTGTTTCGGAAGTATTTTCAGGTAATCTGACAAATAATACATGCCAGACACATTTACTATGTGGGGTAGTGTACGGTTCCTTGTTGCTGCGTATGAGAGAACTGTTCCTGCTCCTGTTAGGAATTTTGGAAATTCATTTTGTCCAGGAAAAATCTATTTCGTTTATCGTTTCAAATAGGAAACGAAAGGTTTTGCTAGTTAAGGATTATATACCTTTAGAATGTGCTATGATCGTAAAAGGCCTATACCCGTACTCTTTAACAAGATAACTTAATACGGTATCGATATCGTCCAAGTCATCCTACATACATTCAAATATAATGTTCGAATTAATCGAGCATTGAATTTATTTTTTTAAATGAAAATAATCTATTACCTGCAAACATGCAAATGACGCTTCACCTTCGCTATCACCACTTCCACGAAAATCAAAGCGAAAATTATCAAACGGAAGAGATTTGGCCAGTTGTTCTTGGTAGCAATAGTTTTTATGTCCTATTACATGTGCATGTACTGTATTTATAAATTTGATTTACTCAATTCGGTGATCTGGCAATGCTATCAACTATGCTTTACCAAATATCCCATGGCAAATCAATCCGATTCTCGCACCGCGAGTACTAGACACCAACGACGCAGACGCCTTCGTTTCGTTCTGCTCCAAAATACCAACGATCACTTGGCCAAATGCATTTTTTATTCGGAGTTCTGTTGTTTTGTATTGTTCATCTGTTGACATTTTTTTTTGATAACGATAATGAAATTTTTGCTTCTATGTATCCGTAATAATACACATGTATTATGTCGATTATCGATTGATGCATATAATATATCGTATGTATATCGATATGGACGATAACGATAACGATAGCGATCGACAAACAATCGAATACGTATCGGTATTACATGTACTAAGGCAAGTTTTTCTGGATTAAATAAACCGTTACTGTATACTCGTTTGTTTTATCACCATTTCAAAGTTTAATAACCATTTACGTTCATATATAAAATGCAGGCATATAATCATTAAAAACATTTATAACGTGAACTCAGAAAGATGGAATTCAATGTACATGTAGTAAAATGTACATATTCTTACTACTGCGATTAATGTTCAGATCACAATACTCATGATTTTGTAAATGCATTCGCTGTCAGTTCAACATTCATTGTAGTAAATGTGCTCGTTGTCAAACGGTAAGTACCAGGGTTGTTAATCTGATTATTTGGACATATAAAAACTGCGCTAGAGATCTTAGCTTGGAAACAAAAATCAACATAACGATAACGAAAACGATCGTGTTTGCTTAATTCTATCGCTACGAAATTTCTTATTAAGATTTTCAATCAAAAAAATTTCCCACGTCCGAGAAATTTGAATGAAGTTTAGTAAATCATACTTGGATTCAATACTTAATTTGTCGACACAAATGAAACTAAACTAAAAGCTTTTTATATATTTAATGATTTTCTGACAGTATATAATCTATCAGACTAGATTTATGCTTTCACAAAATAAGAACTTTTCCTGGTTAAACCGAACCGGATCTTTACATCTAGTAGCGGTCCCCAATATCTGAGATTAAAAAAATTTTTGTTTGAGGGCTCTGTGCTCTTGGCAGCATCAATGAGAAAATCTAAATTCAATTGTGAACGAGAAATTCCTGTGATAATTACAACTATTCCTTTTTTCAATAGAAAATATAGAAATTCGAGAGATATGTAGAAAAGATCATAATGCTACGGAATTTTTAAAAGCTAACAATTTTTTCTGTCGATCAGCGGACCACATACGTATACTATCGCTATTACCAAATAAGTAGAAAATATAATAGTAAAGTGAAAAGTAAAAAATTAAAAGAGTAATATAAAAATATTTGTAAAACAATTATAATTTAGCCATTATTTATAGGAAATTCATATGTATAAAAGAGGAATCTTTCCCTCCCTATGAAAGACAGGCTCAAATACATTAATCAAATATTTAATAAAAACTATTCGTTTTCAAAGCTTGAGAACAAGCAAGTGGATGCTCCTCCACTCTAAATAAGCCATCATTACTATTATTTGTTTGGCATTTATATAAGTCCTGGTATTTTATTATAGTTAGGCAGTCTCAATAAGTCCTACGATTTTTGTTTTATTTCTTAGGCAGTCTCAATAAGTCCCGGTGATCTAAGCTATAGGCAGTCTATCGATTATTTGTTAAAAGCAGTCTCAATAAGTCTTGTAGTTTTGTTTTACAGGTCGTATCAATAAGTCCTGTGGTTGTTAATATTTATAAATATTATTATATCTATCATTACGCCTCCTTGTAATATTGTTAGTTAGTTTGCGTACAATCTACCACAGAAGTCCATTAGAACATTGAAGAGACCCTTTCTACTGTAAATCATTCAATCTATCTCCAAACTGACCATCACATGCAAATTCTTTAGTTCTCTTAATATTATTTGTACACGTGGTAATACGTACTTTACATATTTTTGATGACTTGATTTTTACGAAGTGACAAAGTTGTCGATATACGTTAAGCTTATTTATTCACTTTGCCATCAAAATATCGCATTACATTACAAAATACTTGAGTCTGCATTTCAACTTTTTTCTTACATAGTATCGATAGTACCGTAAATTCTCGAAATAACGGGTATATGTGCGTTATTTCGATCACCTGCGCGTTATTTCGAGTAGGCTCATGTGCGTTATTTCGAAATAAAGGGTCGATTTCTGAACCCGATGGTGGTATATAATTGAAAAAAGAAAAAATATGATCGATACTGTTCTCCCGATAGCATATGATATGATCAGTCGCTTTAGATAATGCTAATTACGAACCCATAACGATAAAAACTAACGTTGTTATAGATCCGCTGATGTATTGTAAGATGAGTGTTATTTCGGGACGCACATGGGCTATTTTTTAGAAGGTTCGATTTTCGAAATACGTACGTAACGCCCATGCTCGTTATTTCGAGAATTTACGATAATACTGTTACAGGTTAGGGGCCGATTATAGGAACGAGTTAGATTAAGATTATTTTATTTATCAATTTTTCTAAAGTCCTGTGCCAATATCTTTGGATATTGTTGCATTCAATCGTCGGTTAGACGTTAATAACGCATTCACTTTTTCTGGACCAAAAGCATAAACCTTCCAAATCGCAGTCGTTATGGCTGTTGAAACAATTATCTCACTTTTCTGGATCAAAGTGGCAAACCTTTCAAATCGTAATCGTCTCACTTTTTCTGGATCAAAAGTGGCAAACCCTCTTTACAACAATGGATTATTAGGATGGAGAATGAAAAGGCAC